GTCGTTTTCATTTTCCCGGTGGTCTTAAGCCAGCCCCCTACTTTAGTGTTATATCTCTCTGGCTCTGGATGTTTGGCAGTGTATCTTCTAGGAAATTAACCTTGGTTTTGCAATAGGAGGTTTGTCTGTTCACGCTAGAACCAAGTTAAAACATTCAGAAAAGGAGAATTTAATTCTCTGTGATGTTTTCTTTCAAAGAGCCTAGAGGTATATTATCGCAAGGCCGTTTCTCTCTCTCTCTTTTCTCAGTTCGTTGGTGTTCATCCTTGCTCACATTGATGTAAGAGCCACTGGGGACTCTTATAGAGCTGCTAATGCCACTTCCTTAGAGAGGACTTTTCTAATCATGTTCTGCAAAGTAGTTTCCCTTCCCATTCTCTTTCTCAGCTCCCAGTTTCTTCCCTTCATGCCACTTGTAATGGTTAGTAGTTTTTTTTTTTTTTCTTATTATTTGCTTGCCCACCTCTCTGGACTTCTACACTCTATGAGGGAGTGAGCTACTGTATTCTTGGCATAGAGTGCACTGCTTTGCAACAGGAAATATTCAGTAAATTTTGGTTCAGTTAATTGATGAAAAAAGAAAGGAGTTGTGGAAGGTCAAAGACTCTGTGTGTTTTTCTTGCTTATGATCACTTCTTCCTCTTTTAGCTGCTTGTGTTTAATGGATGCTGGGAGTTCACACACAATGCCCCTGCTCTCCTCCCAGCCTTGTAGTCAGCCCTACAGTAATTTCTCCACAGGGGTTGATGAGAGAAAGAGTGAGAAATCTCTTCAAAAGGAATCCTGATATATCTCCTGTGGAGGTTATGTGTGCACATTTAATGTGGTCCACACAAGAAGAAAATCTGTTGGGCTACAGGCTTGGAAGTGCAGAGGTTAGGGGGTGGTTTCAATGTCATTAACTGATGATGTGATAAAAAAAATCCGTATTATTTCTGTATCTCTGCTTTGTAGTCTTGTGCCAGCTTCCCTGTAGGGCAGGATGTCCTTGTGGTTGTAGAAAGTAGTTTTGGGGACTATGTCCTTTGTTTTTCACATCAGGATGTGTGTGTGTGTGTGTGTGTGTGTGTGTGTGAGAGAGAGAGAGAGAGAGCAAGAGAGAGAGAGCGTGCAAGAGAGTGAGAATAAGAGTGAGAGATAGCACCAGATCCGCAACCACTCAACAAAAGGCCTTTACTTTTCTTTTCTTTCTTCTGTTTTAATCTGATTGTGCCAAATTGGGTTGGTTACATGCCCATCTCTGAACCAGTATTTCCCTATGGCCTTTATTCAAATTTCATCTCAGTAAGGCTTATCCTGACGACTGAGTCTAAAATCCCAAGTCTAGCTTGGTAGCTTTGTTTCTCTCTAGTTCACTTACTGTCATCTAAGCAACAATGCACTTCACTGTTTTTTCTGTTTGTTTGCTGATTTTTCATCATCTTCTTAAGTGCAGAGATTGTTTAACTGTTACAAAATATTTTACATATTTATGGCATACATGAGAGTGTTTGCTGCATGCATAGAATGTGTAATGATGAACTCAGGGTGTTTGGGGTATCCATCACTTTGAGTTTTTATCATTTCCATGTGCTGCTATCTATTCAAGTCCTCTCTTCTAGTTACTTTGAAATATATAGGATATTGTTGCTAAGTATAGCTATCCTAGTCTGCTATCAAACATTAGAACTTTTTTCTTCTATCTGTATGTTCGTACCCGTTAACCAACTTCTCTTCATCCTTCCCTCCCACCTCCAGTTCCATTCATATTGCAGCACAGAGATTTTATCTGTTTTGTTTCCTGCTGTATCTCTAGTCCCCAGAACAGTTCTTGTCTCAGGAGTCATCTAATAAATATTGATTGAATAGATCAATCAATGCCCAAGGACCACTTACTAATGTATTATTATTACTATTAGCACTGTTTTGCAAATACATGGTGTCTAATGCAGTTAGTTAAACTAAATAGAGTTGAATTTACATGAACATGCAGGGGAATTTCATGGGACTGTTGCCTTTGGCCTTTTTAAAGAACAGTTTTATTGAAATATAATTCATATATCTACAGTTCACCCATTTGAATTATGCAACTCAATGGCTTTTGGTATATTCATGAATTGTGTGCCATCACCACAGTCACTTTTAGAAAATTTTCATTGCCTCCAACAGAAACTTCCCACTTTCTAGCTATCATCCTCCAACTTTCCCATCTTCCTCAGCCCTAGACAGCCACCACTTTATTTTCCACCTCTATAGATCTGTCTGTTCCAGGTATTTCATATAAATAAAATAATACAATATGTGGTCTTTAGTGACTGGCTTCTCTCACTTTGCACAATGTCTTCAAGGTCCACCCATGTATCCGTTACATGTTGCATGTATCTGTACTGCACTTCACTTTTTGAAATTGTCAAATAATATTCCAGTGTATGGATATACCACATTTTATTTAATATCCCTCCATCAGTTGATGGACTAGCCTTGGTTTTAAGGCCAATCCCTATCAAGGGGCATGGGTGTGCCATGATTGGCTTATAATCCTCTTGACCCATCCTTACAGCTCCGTGTCAGTCCCTCCACCAGAAGTACCAACACAGGGGGAGGGACAGAATGCACGCCGGTGGTGGACTGCTGGATCCACAGCAACTTGTAAACCCAGCAGATCCATGTGGTGTCACAGAAGCTTCCTTCTCTCCTCCTCCTACCTTTTCATTGTCATATATTTCTCCTTCCCAGTCATTATCGTTATTATTATTTATATTGAAAGGCCTAATGTTGTGGCACTAAAACCACTGTAAAACAGGAGGTAGGCCAGCAATAGAGAGAATTGTATTGGCTCTTTCCTCACTTTAATTTCTTCATTAAAAACATCTCTTGGTTTTCAATGGATACTGAGGTATTACTCTGAAGGACTACAGTAAAGAGAAATCGTCATTCCCCTAGGATTTAAATACTCTCCCAGGGCCGTCTGTTCTTAATTTCCTGTGCATCTGTTGGAAGGCTCACTGGTGCAGAGCCAATACGAACCATGCTATATTTCAAACAAATGCCTTTTTGTTCTGGAGGTCTGTGTATTCTTTTCTCTTTTCCAAGTAATTAAGCCAGTCAGGGAAAAATATTAAATGTCATTTTGTCTATTTGTGTTTCCCCTTTCCTCTCTGATGAGAATCTTCTTCTCATCAAGAATATTTCCAAAGACGACTTTATGTAGTGAATGAGGACATTGTCCACACTTTTTAATTCAGTGAGAGAGGCTTTGAGAAAGCAGCTTGCTACTTGTAGTCCAAGCAAAAATGTGTAAATGGCTTTATTGAAAATCAATATGCTCTTGTGAAGTGCTGTTCATTTTTGAGTTCTTCACAATTTGTTCTTTTGCCCTGATGAGAGTTGTAGGGAGGCTTACAGCTCTGGGTCTCTGAGTTTGAGGTTTTATTTTTTCTTGTGCTTTCTTCCATGAGTGCAGGACTAAAAGATCATTTGGTGTTTTATTTTGTTTACTCTTTGGAAGAAGAGAACGTGTGGCTTCTTTTTCTTCTTTTTGATGACAGGAGTTGAACTGCCACTGAGGAGTGCAGTTGTCACCTAAAATGTAGCCTTATAAGTGAGGTCAAATTTGTGCAGGCTCCCTGGGTGTCTAAGGCTTCATGAAAGTTCCCTTGGAACGCTGTAGACTGTTCTTCTTTAATCGCAGAGGGGAGAGTCAGGCAATGGAGGGTGGATCTCTGTTGGTGTGCCAGGGAAGATGTCTTTCCATATAGAGAAAGCCTAGGTTACTAAAGTTAGGTCTAGTTCTCATCATTATTGTGTGAATATAGACGAAATTTTAATTGGTCACAGTTTTGGTGAAAGATTAGCTGTGAGACTGGATTTGTCAAAATTTATGTGCTGGTTACTGTTTAATGTGGCAGCATCTGAGGAAGATCAGGGTCATTTGTAATGACTTCATTTGATTTGTACAGATGAATTACAGCATTTTTCCTGTGCCTAGAAACTAGATATTTTCTCATAAATTTCCATCAACTCTTTAAAAAGTTTAACCTTCATTTTGAGCCTAGAGATAGCATAAATCTGAACTGTGAGGTATGGGCAACGGTAGATGTGTCACAGCAAGGTCCGAATGAAACAGAGCTTGAGAGGGGGCTCTACGAGAGAGAAGATGGGGAAGTGTGCCCTTGGATAATTTTTTAATTAATCAATGTCCAAGGATCACTTATTTATTAATTATTATTGCTATTAGCAGTGCCTTGCAAATACGTGGCGTTCCATGCAGTTAGTTGAAGTCAATGGAGTTGGATTTACAGAGTGAATGAGACTTGATCCCACATAATTTTAACTTTGGATTAAGAATAAAGTATTTTATGTTTTGGTGTTTTATGTAAGTAGGGAAGCTGGGATAAGCCAAGGTCTAGTTAAATAGTACTGTTTCTTAGCTTTACATTATTTTTCCTATTAAATTCTCACCCTACCTACAGGTAAGCAAATCATATTTACATCTTTGGCCTCATTGTCCACATTCTTTATGCACACTAGTACCTCAGTTTCTTTTCAGTAACTTCTGACCCTGTCCTGAGGGCTTTGAACAATCCCAACAAGCCTTGCTAAGTCCCTAGAGAGAGGCTGTTATTACAGGTATTGCTAACATTCCATACTGTAACTTAAACATTACCTGCTGTACAATTTGATTACTAGTTAATTAGGATTCTGTTTAATTTGATCAGAACCTCTGGAATTAAATCTTTTTATATTAAAAAATTATAAAATTTGATTGTTCCAAGAAAAGATTATTAGAGTGCCAATCAGTGGTTAGAAAAAATTGTCATCAAATAATAAGACTAATCTTATCAACGAATTGGAAAACAGCCAGAAAACCCTGGCAGTCTTAAGATTGTTCTCGGCAAACTCAGAGCCAGTGAAAATCTTTTTAATGGTACCTTGAGCTGACCTTTTGTAGTTGAGATGTTTATGAGAAAGTACTGGCTATGGATTTATTGTCACTATGGATTGAAAATTTACTTGTGCTGATACTTACCTGGCAGGGGAGGTACCATGATCATGAAGGTGTTTTTCCCAGGGCAAGGCTTATCCATTGCACTCCAGATGTGCTGACCCCTGTGATTTCCCCAAATATGGGAAACTCAACTGCATAATTTGTGGTAGTGGGGGAATGCATTCGAGCTCTGCCCTGGTCTCTTAAAAAAAAAACAAAAAAGAAAATTTACTTGTGATACTTAATAAAATAAAATGTAGGCATAACCACCATTGTTTTGGCTCATTCAGTGATATTATTCATTCGCTGATTTGTGTGTGCTTGCTTTTATTTATTTTTGGGCTAACAGAACGAGATGAGATAGGCTAGTTCATTCCTAAAAGGTTTTCTGAAGTCTACTCTGTTGTACCCAATTGAATCATTCATCTGCCAGTGTTTGCGAAATTAGATCATCTGTTTCTTTTCTTCTATTGTGTCATCGTATGTAAGATTGTGGGTTAGAGTTGATGCCATTCATTTAGAGGGTATAGAGAGGAGATGGTGTCAGAAGCATCAATCAGTGTAGTTTTAAAAGTATTTCCTGGGAAACCTGTCTCACCTCAGTCTGGCTTGACCAGCTGAGAAATGAGGAACGGACTGCTAGCTCTGAGCAGTGGGATTTGGTTGTCCCAGTCACTTGTAACTGGGCAGTCCTGGGCTGAGAGAACATGATCATGAATCTACCTTCTGTTTTCACAAAATATGACTAATTTGGGGACATTTAAATATATCTTACATGTTATTAAATAAATGAAGAATGCCATATGAAGCTTTACAAAAATAATGAGGAGACCTCTAGCTACTGAATAATACATGTGAGTACTGAATCTAGTATGCTGTATTCAGTGTCTTTATGGAATTTTGCAGACTTAACCAGTTTTCCTCATTCTCTATAGTATTGTGGGTTTTTTTAATTGTTTACAGTGAGTGATTCTCATAAAGATACCTTTCCCCCAGATAAAGACGCCTATTAATACAACTAGTTCAGAGAGATATTTTCTTTAACAATTTTTTATTGATACATAATTTTGTTCATATTAAAAATTATAAAATTTGATTGTTCTAAGGAAAGATTATTGCAGTACTAATCAGGTAGTTAGAAAAAGCTGTCATCAAATAATAAGACTAATCTTGTGAACTGATTTAAAGCAGCCAGAAAAGGCTGGCAGTCTAAGATTGTTCTCGGGGAACTGAGAGCCACTGAAAATCTTTCTAACGGTTCCTCGAGCTGACCTTCTGTAGCTGTAAATATGTAGTTTTACACATTTGTAGAATATATGTGATATTTTCATACAAGCATACAAGATATAATGATCAAATCTGGGTAACTGGGATATCCATCCCATCAAACATTTATCATTTCTTTGTGTTGGGAACATTTCACATCTTCTTTTCTAGCTATTTTGAATTATATAATAAACTATTCTTATGCTGAACACTAGTTGTTATTCCTTTTATCTAACTTTTTCTTTGTACCCATTAATCAACCCCTCTTTATCCCTCCCTCTCTACTACCCTTCCCAGCTTCCGGTAACCACCATTATAGTCACTATCTCTGTGAGATCGTCTTTTAGCTCCCACATATGATAAGAATATGTGATATTTGTCTTTCTTTCTGATTTGTTTCACTTAACATAATGTCTTCCAATTCCATTCATGTTGTTGCAAATGACAAGATTTCAGTCTTTTATGGCTAAATAATATTCCATTTTGTATATACCCCCCATTGGCTCTCTCCATTCATTCACTGATCGGCATTTAGGTTGATTGCATATCTTGATTAGTGTGACTAGAACTGCAATAGACATGGAAGTGCAAATGCTTCTTGCCCTTGGAAATCTCAGAAATATACTATTTCCTCTATTTTTGGATAGATGGATCCAGTGGGATTGCTGGATTACATTATATTTTTATTTTTGATTTTTTGATGACACTTCATATGGTTTTTCATAAAGACTATGAATTTATATTACCACCAACAGTGTCTGAGCATTCTCTTTTCTCTGCATCCTTGTCAGCATTTGTTATTTTCTGACTTTTTGATAATAGCTGTTCTAACCGGGGTGAGATAATACTTCTTTGTAGTTTTGGTTTGCGTTTCCTTGATGATTAGTGATGTGGAGCACTTTTCTCATGATGTAACCCATTTCTATGTCTTCTTTAGAGAAATGTCTATTCAGATCTTTGCCCATTTTTATATCACATTATTTGGTTTTGGCTATTGAGTTGTTTGAGTCTTTTATATAGTCTAATTACTAACCCCTTGTTAGATAAACAGTTTGCAATATTTTCTTTCTTTGTTTTCTTACCTTTGTTGATTGTTCCTTTGCTATGCAGAAGCTTTTTAGCTTGATGTAATCCCATTTGTCAATTTTCGTTTTGGTTACCTATGCTTTTGAGGTCTTATTCAAGAAATCTTTGCCCAGACCAATGTCCTGAAGCATTTCATTCACGTTTTATTCTAGAAGTTTTAGTTTCAGGTCTTATATTTAAATCTTTAATCCATTTTGATTTTTTTTTTTAAAATATGGTGATAGATAGGGGTCTAGTTTCTTTTGTCTGCCTATGAATATCTAGGTTTTCAAGAAGAGACTGTCTTTTCCCCAGTGTATGTTCTTGGCACCTTTGTTGAAAATGAATTGGCTATAAATGTGTGGATTTATTTCTGGATTTTCTATTCAGTTTCATTGGTCTCTGTTTTTATGTTAGTACTATGTTGCTTTGGTTACTATAGCTTTGGAGTATAATTTGTAGTCAGGGGTGTGATGTCCCCAGCTTTGTTCTTTGTGCTCAGGATTGCTTTGGCTACTTTGGATCTTTTTTGGTTTCACAGGAATTTCAAGATTTTTTTTTCCATTTTTGTGAAGAAAGTCATTGGTATTTTGATAGAGATTGCCTTGAATCTGTAGATAGCTTTGTGTCAGAAAAGTATTTTTTATTGCTCCAATTCTGTCTCTTGATAAAACCTGACATGTTTTCCCCATCTCTTAAAAAACACGTACTTTGTTTTATTCCCTTTGTTATTTCTCACCAAAATTTTACTTAAGAAAAAAATAAAAATGAAGTAGATACTTTTTTCCTGGTTGTAAAATGAGATCTTCAAACTTCTACAGATTATTGTTCTTAAAAAAATGGCATAATTAATATAGCTACTAGACTATGTAAGATTATGGCTTTTGGGGGTTTTTGTTGCACCAGTCAGGCCCTGAAAATTACAAGCATAAACATTCACTGCCTCCATAGTGAAAGATTACTGGAAGAATATATCAATAACCTGAATTCTTTCATGTTTCAGTTTTCCTGGACTCTGTGATGTGCAATAAGCTTGTTACGTGCTCATAATATGTCAATAAGAATGAAAATCTTAATAGCTAACATTTATTGAGTACTTACTATGTGCTACGCATGTATCTGCAAGATTACTCTGTAATATAGGTATATTATCTTCATTTTATAGATGACATGGTGACTTAAAGAAGTAAATGATAGTCCAAGGTCACACAGTTTTTAAGTGGGGATTAGAATTCCAGTAGATTGAATGCAGACACTGAGTTATTTTGTGATTTGGGTGTATGTCAATTTTTTAATGATTCGCTGGCATTCACTGGCTTTAAGAACTAAATATAAACATCTTTTCCTCTCCACCTCATCTGCCACTCCTAACCCTTCCAACCCAGTTAAGTACTCTTAGTTTCTTTATAAGTGTATGGAGTTTTAAATTTAAATGCACATATGAATAAATATGAGCATATATTCCCACTTTTTTAAGGACACAAATTATAGCATTTGTATTTGCTAGACTGAATGCTTTTCTCTATCTTGCAGCCTGAACTCTTACCAACTTCACTAAGTCTATCTTTTAAAAATTTTTCAAATTTTTATGGATATATGGTAGATGTATTCATTTATGGGGGTACATGAGATATTTTGATACAGGCATATAATATGTAATAATCACATCAAAGTAAATGGGGTATCCATCACCTTAAACATTTAACATTTCTTTGTGTTACAAGCATTCCAATTATAATTTGTTATTTTTAAATGTACAATAAATTATTGTTAACTGTAGTCACCACATATTGCTATCAAATACTAGATCCTATTTATGCTATCTAACTATATTTTTGTATCCATTAAACATTCCCACTCCCCTCCTTCCTACTACCCCTCATTGCACCTTTTGGAAAGGTGATTTTTCTCTGGTGGCATGTTTTAATTTCTTGCTTTTTATATTTTATGTTTCTGTTGTTTGCTTCTTGAGGTTACCATGAGGCTTGCAAATAACAGCTTATAACCCATTATTTTGAACCTCTAACGGTGTAACACTGATTGCAAAAACAAATGAACAAGTAAAAAGAAAAGTAATAAAAAACCCAGTTTAATTTTATTTCCTCAGTTTTTAAACTTTCTGTTGTTTCTATTTATATCTTATACTGTTTATGTCTTCAAATATTGTTGTCATTATTTTTGATAGGTTCAATTTAAGGCTTTCTAGTTAAGAGATGAGTAGTTTACATACCACAAATACAGTGCTATGGTATTTTGTGTTTTTCCATGTACTTACTATTACCAAGTGAATTTTGTACCTTCAGATGATCATTAACATCCTTTTCTTTCAGATTGAAGAACTGCCGTTAGCATTTCTGGTAGGACAGGTCTGGTGTTGATGATATCCCTCAGCTTTTGCTTGCTTGGGAAGTCTTTACTTCTCCTTCATATTTGAAGGATATTTTTGCTAGATATACTATTCTAGGATAAAAGCGTTTTTCCTTTAGCACTTTAAATATGTTATTCAACTGTCTTCTAGCCTGTAAGGTTTCCCCAGAGAAGTTTGCTGCCAGATGTAAGGGAGCTCCTTTGTATGTTATTTGTTTCTTTTTTCTTGTGGCTTTTAGGGTTCTTTCATTGTCTTTGGCCTTTGGGAGTTTGATCATTAAATGCCTTGAGGGCATTTAATGGGTTAAACTTTTTTGGGTTAAATTTGCTTGGTGTTCTACAACCTTCTTGTCCTTGAATATTGATATTTTTCTCTATATAATATCTGGAAAACTCTCTGATATCTTCTTGAATAAATCTTTCTACACTTATTTCTTTATCTCTTCTCATAAATGGGGCCAGTAGCTCTTAGAGTTGGCCCTTTGAGGCTATTTTATAGA